TGTGTGTGTGTGTGTGTGTGTGTGTGTGTGTGTCCGGCCTCACCTCTCTCGTCAGCCGTCATCTGGGCCTCCAGGTCTTCGGGGGAGACGTAGAAGTCCGGCTCCTGGTCCATGGGCGGCCGAGGTTTACATTTACCACAGCAACAGTTACAGCAGCAGCACAGGCAACAGCAGAAATAACAACCTGTGCTCAGGCAGCAGAAGACGAACAAGGCCTGAGGGAGGAAGAGAGACGAGGACATGAAGGATGGTTCACTGTGGACATGGACGGGACGGAATATATGTTGAGTGGATTTAAAGACTTCTCACGTCTCTGCAAACAGTTCATGTTAATTATCTCTGATTTCATCTCAAACCTTTTCTCACATATTTATTTTATTATTCTGTCTTTTTGTTCAATATATTTCACTTCATCGTGTTGTGACGGTAAAAGACAGATTTAAATCTTAACTTTGTTAAACACACCTACGAGAAATACGTTTCTGGAAATAAGATTTGAAGTTAAATATTAATATTCATTAGTATTGAGTTTGATTCCATGTGGAAGGTTCAACTGCTGGTTGGTCCATTTAAAAAATACTTTACATGGACAAAGTACATGTAAAGTATGTACACATGTATGTACACAGTAAACAACGTAGCTCTGTGATCTGGTCTCATCGTGTCCTACCTTCGCCCACCAGCTGGACAGAACGAAGTAGGTGTTGACGTTCTCCTCTCCAAACTGCTCTGCCACATAGAGCCCCAGCGAGCCGTACTTATCGTAGATGTTCTTCTTGGTGGTGTCGACCAGTATGGAGTGGGCGTTGTTGATTTCCTTGAACTTTTCGGCTGCGTCTGGATTGTCAGGGTTTTTATCTGGGTGAAACTTTAACGCCAGTTTCCTGTAAAAAACAAAGAAAGAGACACAATCACGTGTGAATGTGAATTATTACTGTTATTGTTGTTTTAATCAGTTTCTACTGTTACGTGGATCTTGACTGAGGAGAGAAGTCTCTGATCGTTTCACTGCACTTGATGATCACGACAATAAAAGTGTCTGAATCTTTGAAAATGGTTTGAAATGTTTAACTGGACATTGAGAAGGTGATGAAAACGTTAAAATGATCACGTGCATGCAGGAACACATCATGAAAAAAATAGATCATCAACCTGCCTCAACTAAAAGAGTCGCTCTGACGCCCCCTGGTGGTGCACCACATGACAACATTAAAGATGGAGCTCCTCCAGACGAACCTGTAACATTTCTTGATGTCCTCTGCAGTGGCACTCTTCTCCACTCCCAGCACGACGTACAGAGATTCTCCAGATGTGGAGAGAGTCCTTTGTCTCTGCTGCTCCATGGCCCCTCTCTCTCTCTCTCTCTCCTTCTCTCACACACTCCCTTGTTCACTCGCTCCCTCGTTCACTCGCTCCCTCGTTCACTCGGCCTCTCACCTGTCAGGTAGAAAGAAAAACAGAAGAAACAAAAGAGCTGATGAGTTTTCTTCACCTCATATTTCCTGGTTTAAGTTTAATTTTCATTTTCTCTTGTATGATGCAACATTCATTTTTGTATTTTAGGGGAAATTTCCAGACATTGATTTGAGCTGATTATCAATTAATCTGCTGATTTCTTTCATGATGTAATGATTTTTTTGTCTGTGAGTGGGACCGGGTAAAATAAAGTATCATGTAATAAGTATTTTAATGATTGATTTGTTAATTTAATCTGATGATGATCTTGATTCATTGTTTTTGTAGAATATCAGACACTTCACAGAAAAGCCAGAAACTGAAATGGAATTAATTAATTCAAAATAAAATAAATAAATTCTGAAACTCTATATTTTAACCAGAACCTTCATTATAAAGAAAGAAAGCACAAGTAAAAACAATAAGTGGAACTTTAATTATTCTGTAAAATAAAGGCTGACGTGTCTGTGACAGATCGACGTGTCGTGTTGATGATGATGAATATTTAAAGGAAATACAGAGAGAAGCCAACTGAAGGTAATATCATGTTTAAACACTGAACTGGATGTAAACTGATCCGTGTCCAGGCGGTGACGGTGTGTTGATGAGCAGAGGAACAGAAAAGAATAAATGAGTTAAACCAGAGTCAGTTCAGGTCCCACAGCCGGGCCAGGCAGAGATTTACCATCTGTGTCCTCAACCAACCTCACGCTTCCTGTTAAACAACTGTTCAGACGCTGCAGCGAGCGAACATCGTGACAGACGGAGTCGTGGAGGCTGCTGACACAAATGTGAAGAGCAGGAGGTCTTTGGGATTTACCATCAAATCAAAATGTCTCTCTCCAGAACTGAGCTAAGGTTTGAGGACAATGTCCGTCTGTTTGTCGTCTTCATTGATCCGTCATCGACTCTGATGTTGGCATCAGTTTGTTCTATTGTGGATGAGTCATACGTCATGTCCCGCCTCCTGCTGCTCTACAGGCTCCACCCCTCGCCTGAATGTCCCCCACATGCTGCTGCTTCAGAGACACTAACTACACAACACGTCCACACAACATGTCCACACAACACGTCCACACAACACGTCCACACAACACGTCCACACAACACGTCAGGACAATCTGCTGCTGCTGCTTCATAGACACTGACTGCAGGACCAGGACCAGACGCTGTATCTGGACAGTTACGACTCTGATTTGTGTTTTCAGGTTTTTATTATCTGTCGCTGCTTGTGTTTACATTTTTATTTCATTGCTTCCTGTCAGAACAGATACTGTGTCTCACTGGAACCTGCCTGGTTCACGAACACAGTACGACACAGGTAACTTGTTAATGCAAACTGCTCTGCTGATCAGATGAATGTGAGGGAGTGAAGTGATAACACATGTTTCTGCAGGGCAGAGAAGGAAAGCCAACATGTGTGGTTCATGTAGCAGGCGTCATGATAAGATGCTGGAACCAGAGACAACAACAAACCTCACACACCCATCGACAACAATGATCAACCAACTCCAGGCAAGAAGTCAGCTGATTATAATCCATGTGGATGTTTGCAGAGTGAGTGGACTGAGCGTTCAATAATAATTCATCTGTGTTTGATATTTATGAATTAAAACGTTTGAGGATCCAGGTTTGTGAATCGTGAAGGAAATCCAGTCTGCGACCTGTGAACTGGTTGATATCACCCTGTCAGACAGCAGGTGTACGGGGGTTAGCAGGCTTACAGACCACACTAAGCCAATCCAGCTCCACACACTCTAAACCAGACTTAAATCATCAACAGAATAATCTGCACGTCTTCTTCACAGAGAACTTTCTGACGGACAGTTTTCCCCCCGTGAGTCATTTATTCATCAACTCATGTCACAACGAGAGAATGATTCCTAACGCAGGTATAAACAGTGAGCGTCACATAGAGATCCTCTGCCAAGGGCCCGATGTCACAATGTGAATGAAGTGGACCAACAAACAAACAAACGGACTAGGATGTCAATCAACAGAGGACAAACCACCGCCAAGCTGCACCACATCACACACACACACACACTCACAGATGTCAGTCCTCGAAATGCAAATTATTCTCTGTGAAATCAGTGAAAATGTCTCGATGTTAAAGAAAGAGATGTAATAATTCCTGGTTCCTCCCCAACAGTTTAAAGTGTTTCTGGATCTTTTATAATTGATTAATCTCACAGTTATTTTCTGATTCAATTATAAAGTAAAACCACAACATATTATTTTAGGGGAGGTTAGATTTACACTTTAGTGACTGAGAGTCGGCTCTTTGTGTTTGGTTTTATTGTTTCATATTTTACTAATCCAGATTAATTTCTGATGATGTATTGGTCACACTACCTCCGTGTTTTTCTGAGTGTGTGTGTGTGTGTGTGTGTGTGTGTGTTCAAGGATAATCTTGAACACACAAAGGATGTAAAAAAGCCACAGTGTGGATTAACCCTTTATTTACAGAGTTACACACCTTAAACAAACACTGAACATGAAATGACTCCTCTGTTCTATTCAGTGGAATCAAGAGATATATATAAAAACTTGAAACTAGAAGAAGTCGGTTTCTATAAAACACTATATGGCACCAGATGGGTGTTGTTGCCATGGCAACCCTACAACGCTTCCGGCTCAAAACACATCGATTTAACACCTCCCTGAACCCCCCCCCCCCCAACTACCGTGGACTCGGATTAACCAGTCACAACACTGTTAAACCGACCACCTGACTGGGATTAACCAATGAGAGCGATTCATGTGTGCCAGGGATTATCAGGGTATAGTGTGTGTGTGTGTGTGTGTGTGTGTGTGTGTGTGTGTGTGTGTGTCTATAATTCAGCAGCCAATGAGATTTTGAGAAAGTCAGATTCACCTGAACCAACAATGCGTAAAGAATGAAGCCATGCTGTACTGAGGATGACACCATATGGTCACACAGTGTGTGTGTGTGTCACACAGTGTGTGTGTCACACAGTGTGTGTGTCACACAGTGTGTGTGTCACAGTGTGTGTGTCACAGTGTGTGTGTGTCACACAGTGTGTGTGTCACAGTGTGTGTGTCACAGTGTGTGTGTCACACAGTGTGTGTGTCACTGCAGCCCTGCACTAAGACAGTTAATATCTCTACAGATCTTTACCTCCAGTGAGGACGTTATGTTTTCACCCTGGTCCGTTTGTGTGTCTGTCAGCAGCATCACACAACAACAGCTGAACCAGTAACCTCGTGGGAGGTTGTGATTTGGATCAGGAGAGAACAGAAAGCAGATCCAGGACCTTGTTTCGCTTTCTTTTACATTATAGAATCATCAGGTTGAATTTCAGAAGCTGTGTTCCCTTAAGGATTAATAATCAATTCATCTGCTGATCAATTAACTGAACAGAAACAAATGCTAGAAGAATATTTTTCCTTTTTGCTCAGTAAACTCACAGTCACAAGGTAAACAATGTGTTTTGATCCACCACAATACAATCAGTTAATCCAGGACGTCAACGGAACGTTTGCACCGAATCTGATTAAATGTCCTCGAGGCGTTGTTGAGATATCGTGTTCATAGGAATAAGACGAACCTGAGTTCATACAGATGATCCAGAAACAAGGGAGACATAAAAACAAACGGGACACAGCAACATACTGCAACACATCATGTGCCGTCAGTAACCAGCTGCAGGTTTTTATAAAGAGGAAGTGAGCTCTGCTGTCTGAAGGTTTTCAGAAGCTCAGCCAATGAGTCTGAACTCTGCAGCTGACGAGTCTGAACTATCTCATGAGTTTCAACAGAAATGTTCTTTACCGGAAAACAAAAACGCTGAGAATGTAACATTTAACCTGAGGTTTGAATCACAGGTCAGTTCCTTGATGAGTGGAAATAATAACATTAACAAACGTTGACCGATGGATGTAACGTCTGATTAGCTCCGACAGAGAATCCTGCTTCTCACGCAGCAGCCTTATTAGAGAAGTGGCGGTTTCTGAAGTTGCTTCAGACATGTTGCAACGATACAAGGTTTTCACAGCATGATTATAATCTCAGAAAATATTACAATTCATCCTCTGACATTTTTGGACATGGGAGTCTGCAGAGCAAGCTTCAGGAACTAAAAGAATGATAATGATAAAGAGAATTACACATGTGATTCAATGAACAACATGTTATTAAGCATTATTAATATTGGCAGCTGTGGTGGAAGAAGTATTTACATCCTTCACTTAAGTAAAAGAACATATATTACACCATAAACCTTCAAATGTGAAGTACAAGTACTATCATGAAAATGTGGTTATATAAGTACTAATTATTCAGAGCAGTTATGTCCCCTGTGACTGTTATACTATTATATATTACGTCTTTACTTTATTCTTCTTCTTGCATTAGCAGGATTTTACTGCCGATGGTTTACACATTAAAATGGCCTCCATCCAAACCCACATCACATGACCATGTGGTGTAAACAGGAAGCAGATTGACCGACTCTGCAGGAGAAACTGCAACAAGGTCAGCAACATTTCTGATTCATGATCCATTCAAAACAATAGACATTAACACTGAGGTCTTTTGTTTTCTTCGGGAATAGGGTCAGATAAATCTGGAAATGTCTTTGTCATCGTCTCCAAGAGCCTCAGCTTCTGTTAATCCTCACGACAACACAACGCCAGAGTTTTCAAACTAAAATGGAAGCAGCAGCATTTCCAAAAGACTCAATGTGAGCGAGGCTTTAAAAAGAAATACATGTATGACATTAGTGAGGATGTTAGAGGTCACCGTGATTCAGATGATAAATAATATCACGATGATTTATTCAGGAGCTTTCTTTCTTTTACTCTTTTATTCTTAGTTTGTGTGTATGTGTGTCACCCTGCATTAAAAGGCACTATTACTCAACACGGGCGCGCACACACACACACACTCTCTCTCACACACACACACACACTCTCTCTCACACACACACACACTCTCTCTCTCTCACACACACACAGCTGT